TGTTAGTTAGCTTACATAATCAGGGCTTGTGATTGATTATAACTGTGGCCCCAAAGGGGTGAACAGGGTATTTGTGGCAATGAAACAGCTTTGACTGCTATGCACATGTTCCCTTCAACTCTATTGGTAAACTCTTCCAGCCTCACTTTAAGCTTACCAAATCAAAGCTTGCGACTGCTTATGGAGTGGCCCGAGAGGGGTGAGGAGGCTTTCTGTGGCCGTGAAACCGTTTTGAATGTTAGGCATACTGTTCATTTGTGATTACGAACGTCTTTTTACATTTAATTAAGAGGTTTACGTTTGAGGATGAATTTGACAGCGACAATGTTTCAAAATTAGGAAGGGAAGCAGTGATTATTTGATTGTATAGACGCTTCACCCCTGGGTATGGGTGAAATTGATTCACACGTTAAAGAGATATTTGAGGATCAGTTTTCCCGCGAATTTTGTCCGCACCATAGACCTTTTTTCATGGTGGGTGGTTGGCTGGTGCTCTGTGAGGTTTGCTCCTTCTTTCTTATAAAAATAATCTATCGTCCATATCTGCACTCCTTTTGTATATTTATTACTCATTTGTAACACGTCTAATCTTCGCCTAATTGTGTTGCAAGTGCCGTTAAACTCTTACTAAGACTAATTTTCTGGAATGACAGCCGCTCTCCGTTTTCCGGGGAAAAAACCCAAAAACAAAACAAACCAACAACAACAACAACAACCCAACAACAAAAAGCAAATTAAAACTTTTTAAAGTTTGACTACGAAGCGTGGACACCAATGACCGTACCATTCTACGCAAATGAATAACAAAACTGAATGACTGCTATAGTTAAGTTTACGCGGTACATTACTACCCTCCTACTCTTCAATTGGGCTGTTGGGTTTATATGAGTCAAATTATAGTGCACTTCATAGAGAAGCGGAAATACGCCAGAGTCCACGGTCGAGCATGTTGTCTTGATTCACAGGTCTATTGAGTGACAAATTCATCTTACGCCGACATGACACCGTAACGCACTCGGAAGGCCAAATCGGATAAAACCTGTTCTGTTCTATGGGTTTTTCTTTCTTTCAAACCCCTCATTTTTTTCGTCTAATTTGTTGTTGTTTCTTTTTTTTTGTTGGTTTTTTGTACGTGCAAACATGAATATCCAATGATCTTGATTGACCGCTTTTGTTTGTGCAAAGGTGTTTGTGTGTGTGTGTGTGTGTGTGTGT